GTCTGTCATGTTTTTCTTATACTGTACAGAAATGTTTAGGTTTATAAGTAGGAGTGGGATTAGACTATAAAAATATTTTAATGCTATATTGTTACTACAATTTTTATTTTCCTGCATATTTCGGTCAATTGCGTTTTATATCCTTTTATATTCGCTATAAAATGGGTAGGTTTAGGTTTGGGGGTAGGTTAAGGGGTCTAAAAATCTAAATCGCTTATTGATAAAATGATACAAATGCATTGATACGAATATCTTAATGATACAAAAGATACGTAAATATTTTTACGTTTTTTAGCTAAAAAAATACGTAGCGATTTGTACGTTTTAAACGTTGAAATACGTCTAAATTGTACGTTTTAGCATCAATAAAAACGTACAAAAATGTACGTTTTGTGCTTGTAAATATTATGTATTAATACCTACGTATAAACATGAGACCAGGCTGTAGAATTAGACTTGTTCTTCCTTCAAGTGGCATAACTTTTGAATATTATATAAATATTTAAAAAAATGTTTCAACATATAATCCATCATGATTTACATTTAAATAAGATCCATCCTGGATTACTTCACATGCATACTGTTTTTTGTCCATGTCAAAGATAAAACAACACGTTGTTTTCTCTTTTGGCTGAAAACTGAAAATGTATGGTATTTTTGGATAAAAATGATAGCCATCTAGTAGGTACTTTTCAGCACATGTAGTTACAGTCTTGAGATGTTTTTTGTTGTGGAATGATACTGTGAACAGTCTAAATCTGTTATTCGTCTTGTTTAACCTTTTGAGTGGGTGGCAGCTCAGGCTCCTCGGGGTACATGCAGCAAATGCAGGGTTATATAAACTGTGCCATTATGACATTATGCGCAATATATCTTCCAGGAAGAATTTAACTCCTTCATGCTGTTAAAAAAAAGTTCATTGCCAGTTTCCAGCTTCTCTCTCTCACTCTCTCTCTCTCTAAATATATACACTATATCTGAGTAACACTGAACATGTGATATGTAAATGTGGCCAATCACATGTTCATGTTGTTGGGTTTCTGATGTCAAAAATCCAATTATTTTTAAAAGAGCCATTTTTGCAGCTTAGTTTTAGTAAGATCTTTTTGGCATGTGAAAGAAGTTTTCAGATCTGAAACTGACAGTATGTTTTCAAAATACAAAAAGTATTTTATTTCAAAAGATCAAGGAAGATTTGTTATGACTCCTTTAAGCTAAACATAAGCATATTCTTTTTGATGTTTCATCCACTTAGTCTAAATATTGGCCAAACGAATTTCATGAATTGACTGATTTGGATTTAACTACTAATATTATTTTATGGGAAACAACTTCTTTTCTGTATCCACTACTTGGTCATTTAATTATATGTGTTTACATAAAATTGCTTGTATACATAATAGAAATGTTGGCTTGCACATGGTAACTTCTGTTTTGGTTAATTAAGTCTATTTCCAATGCTTTTGCATTCATATTCGGCCTCTGCATGGACCCAGTCTACCGGGACCCTTCCCTTCAGCCTTTTGAAGTGAAAATGCTGATTGTAGTGTTTAGAAATCTGCATATGGGTGTGGAAAATTTATGATGCAGTACATTACTATTTACTCTGTGAGTCAGTTATGAACAAAGGCTGAATTTTGTAAAGGAAGATATCCTTTTATAAAGACTTGTTTTGCACTTTTAATCCTTAATTAAAAAATGCTGTCTTATAAATAAACAGGTTAAGAGACTGTGTATACTATTACAATAAAACATTTTTTGTATCATTATAAGAACAAATGTGTGTATAGAAATGCTTTTGGGACCCAAATGATGTGTGTATATACATATCTGAAGAGAGTGAGACTATACATGATGTGTATTTATTTATGCTTGATATGATACTCATGTCATGCATACATAAATTCATTCTGTCAGGTGGATGCTGGGTAGGCAGCCCTCAGCTTGAGTAGTACACTTCAAGATATCTGAAGTGACAGCAAGGTGCATTATATAAAGGCTTGTCTTGGTAGGTTTTAACACAATATTTGCTTAGAAATTAGTAGTGATAAATAACTGAGGGGAACTCAATGGAAAATAAATGACTATATAGACTATGATTTTTGACACAAATGTAAATGATTAAGTTCAGTTACATAAGTGTAATTTTAATATTTATACACAACACAGAGATTCATGATACACAATGTTCAAAAGATTGTAAACGTGACATAAGCTGTGTCCCTAATCCCTATATTGTGCACTATATCAGGTGTCAGTCATTTTGTAGTTTTGTCTGAATCCCCTATATAATGAATTGTCCTATATAGTTCACTCCTTTACCCATAATGCACTCTGATTTAACTGATGTACACTCACCAAATCTGACACATACAATAAATAAATAAATAAATAAATGCTTGTCTGAAGTTGGTTTTTATTTCTATAATATTGCCTTGGTACATCTCTATAACTTTTTTGATAAGTCATAACTTCATTAAAAAAATTATTATAAAGATTGGTAGCAAATAGTTCAGTTTACCAAAAACTGAAAACAAACATTTTATGTTTCTTCACTAAATCATTTATTAATTTAATATTAATTCAGAAGACTGTACAGAGAGGAACTCAAAATTAAAATATATGGGCATCACCTGTAGATAACATATTCATGTATGTCTAATCAATGTATAAAATTAAATAAAATAATAAAAAATAATTTACTCGCTTATTTTCTTTTACTCCTTATAGTCATTGACTACATATAGAATAATGAAAACAGTTAGTGAATGAGAGAGCAAGTTCAGACACAGCATATGACTGTGTAAAAACACATACCTGTTCTCCAAGCCCACGTTGCCACCCAGAACCCAGTTTTCTTGCAGCTGCACGCATTCAGATGCGCTCTGAAGCTCTGTCGGCTGATTGGCCAGTGACTGGTTGAGGGAGGTGACTGATGGATGCTGCTTGTGTTGATGTGGAGCAGGTGGCAGAGAAGGAGGTCCTGCTTGGCTGGGAAGCTGGTCTATTGGAAGAGGAGAGGCAGAGGTATTAGTGGAGCTTGTTACAGACTTCTGCTTTACACAAAGCACAGGCGGATTGTGTGCCTGTTCCAGATTGGATTGGGTTAAATGGGATTCTTTACAGGATGATTTGGTCCTATGAACACCTTCAAATTTTCACTTCACTCTGTCCAGCTTCATTTAAGAGAGACAGAAGAGACGCTAAACACTACATTATGATGGTTTACTGCACGGTTTACTGCAATGTGATTTAATTTGTGAATTAAAATAACAATAAAATATATATATATAGTATTATTAACAAAGTAGTAGTAGTCAAAAGAGAGCAGGCAGATATGGCCAGGACAGGTGAACATGACTCTAAGAATGAATCGAAGCAGTGTGTAATTATACAACTTACAAAGACTTGAAATTGAGTAGCAATAGTGACATGGTGCTCACCGACTTTTACGAGTGAGCAAACGTAAGTCTCCGCAGGCCGTTGCTGGGGAGCAGATGTTTTATAATGGGCTCTTAAACTGAACGCTTCACGTTTGATTACAGCCAGAGAGAGAGACTCTCATTTAACTAATGACCGGAACCTCCATTAGGACAGCAGGAAAAAAACAGGTTTTCTCATTTCACTCCAAGCTGGGTAATTGCCCCCCAAAATGACACTGTGTGATTATCTCACTGTCCCATCCTGCCGCCGTGCTGAATCTCGTTTAATAACAATAACCCTTAGGAAAAACTAAAAACAAAAGTTCACACACAAGTGGTCATTTATGCCACACTAGCACCAGTCATGTTAAGAACTATGAAACACCAAGTAATTCTAAACAGACAGAGGCTGAAGTGAGGAAAGAACAGGAATCATTATGACAGGTGTCTTGCCACATTAACTCATGCCTTTTTGAATGCGACTTAATGGAAAATTGTAACAAATTATTTACTTCAATCTAGATAAGGAGGCGCCGCTCTGATTCAATCTGAGCGCCACTAGACTCCACATACTAACAAATGATTACACACAGCATAAGCAGAATGTTAAGGCATTCAGCAGGCTTTCTATCCAGATCTGAAGCAATGAGCTTCCTTTAATCAAACTCCCTGAGCAATAAAATACAATTCTCTCTCTCTTGATTGGACGTAAACATGGTGTACATAGATTTCTCTTGAATGTGCATTTCTGTCCTTTGTAAGTTTATGTTTACCTTTACGTTGACTTCCCCTGCAAAGCACATCCTGCAAAAAGATGACACGGCTAAGGAAGGAAATTTCTTTATGTTTTTCCATAAAGTTTTCATTTGCAATCAGGGAAAGACAGATACAGTTGGCACAAAATTTCTCAATGTCAAGTCGTTCTATGATTAAACAAGATGCTTTAGTGGGCCGTTTTGATTAATATTGGATGGAGCGACTGAAATGACATCCCATTTTACTGTTAATGCTACTGCTAATATCTGTATGAAACACTTCTAAGGGGTAAAAAGGAAAATCTACATTTTCCTTCTTTCATGACTAGGAGCTAAGAAGGGCATAAACATGAAAATATTCTATGAAACTGCACTGACACAAATGTATGCTGACATATAAATATATTATTACTATCCTGCCTTTTTGAAAGTTATATGAGCCAAATGTAAATCAATAAACATATATATTTTTTTTAGTTTGGACAAATAAAACTGATCAAACAAACTGTTGTCTTTTCTGGTTGCCACATATCAAACTATGTTTTCCAGGAATAGTAAGACAAATAAATAATTTATGTAGGTTATTGTTTTTTTTTTCAATAGAGAATACAAACAATTAGTCTTTTCTAGTATTTTATGCTCTCAAAATCATCTCAAAAACCCTTTGAGTAAATGGCTGTTCTCACATCAACATCTATCATTTATCAAAAAGAAATAAAAAAATACATTCCCCTGCCCATGACAAGAGTATAACATAAACTGTCATATTTGATAAATGAGACTAAATAGTACCAGAAAAGGGGATTTGCTATTGCATTTCTGTAAATAATGAAAAGAAAATTGCATTTATGCAATCTGTGGTAAACAGAGGACCCTTTGAGACACCATGAGCATGTTACGGTAACAGATGAATGTGAAATACACATAATAGTCTGTGCATGCCTGAAAGGAGCTATTAAAATATTATTCAATCTAAACACAAACAGTTGAAAAACAGAACATAAAATATCTTTAAAACACAAACTCTGAACTTTTTCCTCTAATAGTAAGAACACAGGCACATTTGAAGGCAATGAAAATGATGCATTAACAGAGAATACACATTATTATCTTTGCTGTCTTGAAGAGCTTTTGCACTCACTCCCGCTCCCGCTTCTAAGACAGATTATAACACCATTCTTGATTATCCTGTGCCGAGCACTACCCTATATTTAGACACCCCTCCTTAGCTCTCCTTCCATTGACTTTGCCAGTCCGTATCACATCCAATCACTTGAGAGAAAATGTCACAGTTGGAATAACCCTCCGGAGCATGGAATAACCCAGCAGTTACCAGTGGACTATAATTGTATTTTACTTCAAGTTCAGTATTCATGAGCCACTGCCACATACTCCAAAACAACCCAAAATTGTATGTGAAATAGGAAAGAATTTCAAAATCAAACTTATTTTCAAAATCAAACTTAATAGAAGCTTTCCAACAAGCTTTCCAATCAAACAAGAAAGATAACCACAGGAAGGAGTTTGATATAGTTATTCAGTTTCAATATGAAACACTACCTTCGTGCTTAATTTACCCCCCAAAAGGGTGCATATTAATACCTAAAAGCTGCATATTACCTAAAACGCACATATTAGTAACTAAATGGTACACCTTTTAAATGGGCACTGTCCCAGATACAACTTTGTGCATTTTTTTCTAAGAGTGCATCATTATGGCAAGAGGCCTGTGTAAACTGAATTACCAAATAGGTTGTGATAAAAAAAAAAAAATAAAGAATATTGCAAACCGACAGTTATCCCTGCCTTCCTGGCTTTTAGTCTGAGCTCACTTCCTAGGAAGTATTGAAGAGATGTAGCAGTGGGGCAGGGCCCACCCATGATGAGAGTAAGAGTTGTGGAGGAGTTGGCAGTATAAGACTATAAATCTAGCATAATAGTGAAACTTGTCTACCTGGCATGACAGGCTATTCAGGAGGCATTCAGAGTCCAGCGTAAAGCAGAGCACAAGCATTTAATCAAAGTCACACCGCCGCGGAGCTGAAAGTGTTCCCTGGGACTAAAACCTAACAGAGAAAGATTTCAGTCCCTCTTGGTGTTTTTCCTTCAGTCTGATTTCTAAATGTTAATATCTGAATATGCTCAGTAGGTAGAATTCTGTCAGATTTGAATGGTGGTTATTTGTCAGTAACATTGTGACGTAACTTTCTCAGAATTTTCTGGCGACAAGAATTTTAGACTAAAAGGAGAGACGTTTCCTGTGACACGATCACCCTCAAGCCATTCTGTCTGAAACTGACATCGACTATCTGTTTCCAATGTAAAGCTTCGCCAAGACCCCAGTAAAGACAAATCATACCTACACCACATCCGTCCCGATGCTGCTGAGAGCCAGTGTTCAGCTTTTGTCATTTAACGATTTTTATTCTCTTCCTTAAAGGGAACAATCATCAGTGAAATCATTCACCATATGTAATGAAATCTGAATTCATAGCAACTGCACTATATTGCATATTGCACTGAGAAAATATCATTAACCTTGTCCCCAAAAACACTACCAAAAAATATCCAAATACTTTTGTAAATGACAAAAGAAAAAAAAAAGTGTGCTGATTTCGAATATTTCTTAGAACAATATCTGTTCAGTAATTCTGCCTTTTTCTGCCACCTTGTTTAACAACACTAATAAATAATTACGTAATTACATAAATAATAATTACTTGGAAATACATTTTTTAAATTATAATATTTTTTTTTACGTTTTATTCTCTACAACACTTTAACCATTTAGATGTATTTATTATTTATTTATTTTTATTCAGATTTAATTATTTAATGAATAAAATCTCCTTGAATTCATACTGGTCTTACACAGAAACAAAAAGCACCATACTGTATATTAGGACTGCATAATTAAATCAACTAAATAATCAAGATTACAGTTGTGGATCCCATTGCGGTTAACCCTAACATGTTTTTGCAATGGTTGAACACTGTAACCAATCACTGACATGTCCCTTGTGCACTGCCATGTACTTTTACTTATTTTTCCCCCTCGGCTGGTATGCTTCTTAATTTGCACTGCCTTACCAAGGCAAGTTGCTGTCAATCATGTTACTATATGATCTAAATTCACTGTGCTTTCACGTTTGATTGAATAATGTTTGAGGAAAGATTTACTTTCAACAAGCCAATTCATGATTTTGGTTTCCCGCCAACTGTTGTCAATAACTGTATCGTTTCACCAGTGTAATGGTTAAAAAAAGCAAAATCTATTTAAACACTTCACCACTGTTCCCTGTGAGTTCCTCAGCATTTGATAATGCATCAGTCATTCTTTACAGTTTTGCATGATATTAAAACTGCCCAATAATCAATAACTGTGCAGACCATACCTGCAGCACTTACAATAAACACAACGTTACCATCCATTGGTGTGGACGCCAAGATAGTTATTAAATGAATGAACAAACTGGTCACATTTACCTACAACAAGGGAATTAATTAGTACAAGGCAGCAACAATTTACCTAAAACAAGGAAACAAATTATTAAAATGTGCCCAGGATAAAACATGCTAACGTATTAAAGGTCGCATATTGTCAAAACTGAAATTTCCTGGCTTTTTTCACGATAACTGAGGTCTAGGGGCTATTTAACTACCATATAAGTTTCAAAACAGTCAGTCCACAGTAAAATGCACACAGCCTGCATAAAGTAGCTGTGATTTTTCACGAACCGTTGTGACTTCCGTAAAAAGTTGACGTCAGAACTACACAGTCACCGCCTTCAGTCACCACCCCGAGCACCGCCCACAGTCCCACTCTC